GGGGGAGAGGGAAGGTGTGGGGGGTGGGGGGGAAGGTTAGGGAAGGGTGGGGGAAGAGGGGAGAAATGACCCAAACATTGTATGCATATATGAATAATAAAAAAAAAATTCCCACTACCACCAAAAAAAAATTTCTGTTGCTATGAACTGTCACCTACACATTGATAAATTTCCAAATCTAGACTGCTATCCTTATCCCTGAATCTCAAATGATTATCTCCAGTTTCCACCTTACCCCTGCCTCTGTAGTGTCTCTATTTGATTGTCACTCATCTCACACATCAAGTGTTCAAAACCAAAATCTTATTTCCCTTTCCCAAGCCTATTTTTCAACCCATTTTTCTTCTAAACTGTTGGTATCCCAAACTTCCAGTCACTTAGCTTCCAATGGGTGGTATTATTTTCAATATTTGTCTTTCTCTTGAAACCCACATCCAGTCCACCAATAAGTCCTGTCCTTTGCACCTTTAAAATATATGAAGAATCCGATGGTTTTCACAGACTCCACTGGCTCTCCTGTGCATTTCTATCCCTATGGTCACTCTGTGTTAAATGCTCCATTTCCCTGATCACCTTCTCCAAAAGGACCTGAGTTCTATGAAATTCAGGAAGCAAGACCAAGACCTCATTCATCTTTTCCCACATCATAGTGGGTAAATCGAAGCAGGCTCAAACATGGAGAAACTGAAGTCCACTCCATCCAGTTTCAGAGTGAAAGGAAAAGCCTGGAGCCCCTTCAGATTCCTCTTCAGAGCTCCTTCCTGTCACTTGGGGGAGGAAGTTGGTTTTCTGTGGCTTCAGTTAAACTCGAGTAATGACTCTGCGCCTCTGGAAGGTGACCATGGATACAATTAAGTGACATAAAGGCCCTCAGTTAGTGGAGTCTACAACTGTCTTTTAGAACATGGAGGGGATTTTTAGGTGAAGGACAAAACCTGGAAACATTTGGAAATGGAGGATTTTTGCCTAAGATCCCTTGGCTGGGTGTGTGTCAGTGAAGATGGGCGCTAACGCTAGCAGAGCCCTGGAGAAGTGACAGAGCTCTAACCCCAGGACTAAGATTAAGTAGCCATGAAGTGAGAATCAAAGGGAATCCTGGGTGCTTCCTTTTTTTGGCAAGCAGGGAATTCTGGAGAGAAATGAGAACAGCAATGGCAGCAACAACCCAGGCTGAAGATAATAGGTCTATTAGTTAGGGAAAGTTTCCAGCAGCGCCAAGTCCGTTCCCACTTCTCTGTCCAGGCCAGGTCCTCAGTCACATCCAGATTATCTGGGGAATCACCTTATTTCTTTGATGCCTTTTCTGCCTGGAGACCGGGAAGGCGCCCATGTCCCTTTTCTGACCCCCAAGATTTTAGGTTTCCCTCACATCCTCTTATGCAAAGATGAGAGACACATGGGAAACGGGGACCTGGGGATCTCCATTCTCCGGTATAGGGGCATAAAGCAGGTCCCCAACTTTCCAGCTCCTGCCGACACCATTCTGCCTGCCACGGGTCGGTCGGGAAGCCGATCCACACAAAGGCTGCCTTCCACTGGGCGGAGGATGGGTGTGGGTCAGGGTCGGGGTCAGTGAGGGTGAGTGCGGCTAAGCCTCCTCTTTCCTGAAACGAAATCCTCGGGGGAGGCAGGAAAGAGGAAGGTGCGGGAGGTGGACTTGGAGGCGAGAGGTGGCTGCAGCTTCCAGGCGCTTTGACGTAGACTTGAAGAGGCGCCGAACACTCCCACTACTTCAGAAGAGGCGCGGTAGCATCCAGGACGCGGAAGCTGGGGACAGGCACTCGCGAAGGAAGCAACGAGAGCCACTCCTCTCCACGCTCTCGAGGAACCCTCTCCACGCGTTCGAGGGAACCCCAATAGGGCAGAAGAGCAGGCCAGAGCCCTTCTGCCACCTGGTAGTGGAGCTGCGGCGGTGAGGAGGTGAGTGGGTCCCCAAGGCAGAGCGGGTCTAAGGCAGCTCTGCCCTGCGCGGCTGAGGCCGTGGAACCAGGTGCGGTGCCAAGACTCGCCAAGCGCGCGCGGGTCTCCCACCAGGGCGCACTGAGGACCCCGGGGTTAAAAAGCTCACAGAAACACCTCTCCAGGCTCGGATAGCCCTTTCCTAAAAGAAGGGACTTTTAAAGGAGTCAATGTGAGCATTGTCGCTTGAGCCAACAGGAGTCCGAGATCACGCCAACTTCAGCACCCTGGACAGCGTCCCGCCCTTTGTCTTTTAAAAAACTTAGAACAGCTAAGTTTTAAGGAAAAAATAACCTTTGCGGAATCTCGATTTAGGTATTTTAGTTCAGAAAAGAACACAATATCCTTCTCAAGTGCTTCAAATAGAGAGAATTAGGGTGACCTTGAATCTTGAACATGTCCCTTCAAAATAGGAATGTGTGCGTTCAAGGACCGTTTGCTTATGGAGTAGTCAGTGGTATTGCGATACATCCTGCGGCTGTGCGGAGGGGTAAGAGTCCATCTTATGTTGCTATATCTCTGTGCTCCGACACAGGAATGTTCCCATGAGATTTACTTTGCTTGCCTTTGTGACACTAACCTCTAAAATGTTTGGAAAGGTTAAAGTGAAAGTGAGCTGTGTGTCCCGTCTCTTTCTTCTTAATGTCGAAGTTGTTTAACTGTGATACGAGTCTCTTATCATCCGTGAGAAATGATAAGCTTGTTCTCTGGGAAAAAAGAAAATTTGAGTTCTTTGAAGATCATAACTTCTCATTGCACTTGTCTGACTTAGTAACATAAGACTATGTGGTATGTGTCTCCCTGATGATTTTAAGGCATTGAGAGCCAGAAAATTTGAATGACAATCATTTTCTTTAAAATCCTTGAAATTCATAGCAAGAAGTTTTTAAAACATTATCATTATTAAAATTTTATCAGAATCAAGGAGCATTGTAGTTGCTTGTAAAAGGTCAATTGAGTCTATTCTAATGTGTTGGATGTATGTCCTTCAGTTTGTTTACCCACACTTTTAGCATCTATTTTGTATTTTTTATAATAACATTATATAATTCTGATGTCTTTTATGAAACTAAAATCCACTCTGAATAGAAAAGCATGCAAAGGTAAAAACATTCAAATTCTTTGTTGCACAGGAATCTTAGGTTAGGATGACTGGGTTTGAGATATTATGGGTTAATTAAAGCCATGTGGCAAGATTTAAGATTTTTGCTTACTATTCTTTTCAACTATATTCTTCCGTAGTAAGGAAAACCAGGTGCACTTATTCATCTTATGAAGCAACACATCTTGGGAATATTTTTAGCCTGACTGTCTTGATTTTACACTTACCTGTCCTGGTAATGAGTCATTTTAGGTAGAATGAGCTGTGATATGGGAAGTGGAATTAGATTTTCCCATTTAGTGACAGTGAATGTGCTTATTTGCTGGGACTAGGGTTCTTAAGGGCATACTTATTTTTTCAGCTGAGTAGGATGTAATGGGAGACTAATGTATTTCCATACCATGCAATTTCACAGACATGGCTGATCTCGGGAACAGAAGAGTGATCCACTGCCGCTTGAGCTTCACCTGCTCCCTGCTCATTGTAGGAATGTGCTGTGTGTCTCCCTTCTTCTGCCATAGCCAGACAGACCTGCTTGCCCTTAACCAAGCTGATCCTCAGTGCTGGGAATCCTCCTCAGTCCTCCTTTTGGACATGCGAAAGCCTCGCATTTCCAACACTGTTTCAGGCTTCTGGGATTTCATGATCTACCTGAAGTCATCTGAGAACTTGAAGCATGGGGCACTGTTTTGGGATCTGGCCCAGCTCTTCTGGGACATCTATGTGGACTGTGTTCTCTCCAGGAACCATGGCTTAGGAAGGAGACAGTTGGCTGGAAAGGAAGAGAAAATCTCAGGAGTGCAGGCACAGCGCACAGGGAGTAAAAAAGGTGGTCAATCCCAGCTCCCATGTCTTCTAAAGGGGCAAGCAAGTGTGAATGTGTTGGACTGTGAAGAGGGAAACGACCTTGGAGGAATACAGTATCACATAGATTCCTCTTAGAGGGTGAACCTCAAGAGCACACAGTGATAGAAATATAGGTAGCACTTCCTTTTGCAAACATTTCATAATAGCTGTTTATTTTAACACATTTTCTTCATCTGCACACTTCATTTGAGCAGCACATGGAAGAGTCAGAAAGACAAGCAAGGAAAAGCATGATTCCCAATACTACACAAAGGTATAACGGTATGCCCCAAGACCAACACTATTTTTTACCATTAGCCTGGACATTAGCAGTCATAACTTGATGATGACTTGCTGTGGAATTGGGAATACTTGAACAAAAGCCTGGGGATATTTGAAGTGTGCAAATTCTTGCCCCTTTTAAACTGAAAAACATTGCTTTCATTTGAATGGAGGGGCTCTATGAAAAATATCTAATTAAAGTAAATGAAAAACTCAGTTGGCATGCAGATTCATTCTTTGTTGCTTTTTGAATGAATCTCAAATAACTTCCAGCAAGTAATTAATTTTTAAAAATTGGAACTTCCTAAAAATTTAGAGATTTTTCTTTGATGACTATATTCAAATATAGTCTTTTCCCAGAGGACAGAATAAATATTCCTTATAAATTAGAATGACAGTGAGTGAACCCCTAAGGATAAGTAAACAGAGAGATTCCTGAGCTCAATTCATATTGTTTTTGTTCTTTTTTGGTGTCATTTCAAACAATGAGCTTTCATTAGAAATATTTATGTACAGTGGCTAACTGGGGTATAACTGATCTTTACATTTCAACATTTAATTATGAGAATTGTTATAGATTCCTGTAAGCACTATATTAAAGTGTTAATAAACAGTAATAGTTCTAGAACTAACTTTTCCAAAGATATTGTAGAGCTTTTATATATCTAGTTTGGTTTAACCTAAGTAACTAAAAATCCTCATTATTTGCTGACCATAAAACTCTAGATAATGCACTGCTACTATTTATAGGTAAGTTTATTATTTTGGTAACCTACACTAACTATATTTTTCAGAGGAAATATTCATTTAGCATCTTTGCTTCTAAATGAGAACTATAGAATAAATGTCTTTAAGTGTGGATTACCAATATTTTAAAAACATTTTGAACAGAGACTTTCCAGGAGTCAGAGTAGTAAGGGCCACTTATTTTCTTCCTCTGTACTCTGAGAGCAATCTGTCAAGCTTTGTCTTTCATTCTTATCACATTTAGCTAGGGGACTCAAGTCACCACCAAATGTCATTTACCGTGCATTCACTTTGCCTAACTCAGAGAAATGTCTACAGAATAAACGAAAATGGTATTATTTACATTTAACTGAAGATGAGTATATAATAAGCTTTAGAAGCCACTTTCTTCACCTCACTACAGAGTTGCTATTGACTCAGATGGTCTGAAAACTTTAGGGACAGGTGTTTTGCAGGTAGCTAAGTAGGAGTAGTAAACATTTCACTGTATTGAAATTATTTTAATGTTTGGCACAAGCAATTTTTTAAAGTTCAGGAAACAAGGCATTCCATTTGGCTGGTATTATCACAAAGAGGGTCTTGGGTCAAGAAGATACATGTTGAAAAGTTAAATAGCTAGAAGAACATTGAGATTTCCTTTCAAGGAGCTTCATTTAATCTCTAGTGGCTCAACTGGGCTCTGAATGTACCTGCATGTATCTTCCAGCAATTTTCCCTTTTGTCCCTGGGGATAATATGCTACTAGGTTGGAATGAACGTGAGGATGAAGAGGTGATTGTTTCCATAGTTCTCAGGAAAATTCTATCATTAGGGCAAAAGGGAAGAAGAACTAAAATAAGTATCTACATAATATACTAAAAAGTTCACATTGTTTTGATGTCTTCAAATTAGATAGTTTAATCCACTTATGAAATCTTACCATGAATCATACCTTGTTAAAAACATATAACTTATGTAATTTTGTATGTGAGTATTACATTAACAAGTGTGAAAACAAGAGACATCAAATGGTTACATAACATTGGGCAAGTTAACTTACATATTTAGTTCTTAGTCTATTCATATCAAAAAGAAGGATAAGGAAAGAATTAGATGACCAACAAAGTCTCTTCACGTTCTCTGCTCTGTGATTCTATAAAAATGAAATGTACAAAAGGTAGTTAAATAACTCTGGAAAGAATCTGGAAGAGTTTTATCCCAAGAACAGTTGGCTGATCTTAGTGATGACTGGGACACCATGGGTATTTGTTACAATTATAAGCAGGAAGAGAAGAGGCCCAGAAATGAGAACTCCAAAAATTCTGAGGGCTGGAGATGATGTTATGAGATTAGTGTTAATCTAGAAGGACATTGGTCAACAGTTGAATGTTGAACTATCTGACGGAAGATGTAAAGAGGATAGACATACCCAGGCTTAATTGCTAAATTTTGATGGGTTATGTCAAGGGAAAGAGAGCAAGGGGGAAAGAAGAAGTGAAGATGAGAGAGGGAGGGAAAGAAGGGAGTGAGATAAGAGATGAGAGAGAAAGAGTACGAGAGAGAGAGAGAGAGAGAGAGAGAGAGAGAGAGAGATTGAGATTTAGGCCAAAAGCACACTGATAACTCCCAAAGAGAAATCAGCAGAGTTCAGGTTAACACATAGGATGGTAAAAAGTCTTCCAGGCAAATGAAGAGATTTTGGGATAGATTTTGAGATATAACCTTCATAGTGTCAAAAGTAATGCTTCTTTCAATAAACGTTGCTCTGACACTAAGAATGAAAGAAAAATCTGCCTTCCTGGGACTGGTAATTTATGTGGTCTAGAAAAACTGTGAATTTTTGTTTTTCTCTGTTATGAGAAAATTAAAATTTAGATTTATAATCTGATGTTTGCAGTTGATGCCTAACTGGAAAATACTCATAGTGCTTGTTTTAAAACACTAAACACAAGAGCAAGTGATGCTTCAGAAATATAGACTCACAGGGCTGAGGAGTGGCTCAAGTAGTAGAGAGCTTGTCTAGTAAGCATGGGGCCCTGAGTTCCAACCCCAGTACCACAAACAAAAATACGAAAAAAGAAATACAGGTTCACAAATGCTTGATTTTCTACTTTACTCACTCCAAGAAATTTCTTAAGTAACATACTCAGCAATCACCCTTCTAGAAGTTTATTCTAAGGAAACATTGACAGGTGAAAGTAATGATGCAGTATAAGACTCTTCGTTGAAGTATAATTTAGGTAACAGAAAATCTGGAAATAACTTAAATGCCCCACAATAGGGTAGTTAAGGCATAAAGTGTATATATAAAGCCAAGGTTATCTTTGGAAGATTATATTATTGGTGATTTAAGTGTTTTCTTTATACTTCAATATTAAAAATTATGTAATTATTATTTTACCTCTTTAGTCAAATATTTTAGTGCACATTAATAGACAAGGAAATATACTTGTTATCATTTATTTAACTTAGATTATGTAACTAAACTGCATAGGACACAAAACTTTCAATAAATAAAAAATTATATATACACTTCTGCAAAATATATATAGTTTTGATAGATTGGCAGAAATACCCATTTTCTTTTAAAAACAATTATAATATTCAATTAACCTGAGAATAATCTGGTGACCTTATAAATTTCGTTTTCTCTGCTTTCAGGTACATATTCTCAGCTTCTAAGAACCCCTTTCCTAAAGAAGAAAGAGTTGATTGAAGATTCAATAAGCATGCATGTACGCAAGAGTGGGTCCAGGTTCACAGGAAAAGTGAACCTTGAAATAAAGAGAAAGTAAATCGAACCTTAGAGTAACTCATGCCTCAGAATTTAAAAAAAATGATTATTTTTTCTTAAGAATTTGTCGTTGGTTCATTTTAGATAGCGGAATATTCAGAGATAAATATTATGCTAAATTCTCTAATAATGCTTATTTAAGGCTTCTTTTAGTTTGCTAGCATGTTCCTCCAAATGGTGACTACTGCCAGACCATCTCACTGTCAAAAGAATTAAGACTTCCGAAAGTGACTTGGGAACTTGGAGACTGCCTCTTTGTAGACGTTTGATAATTTGTTTGGGATACTTACATTGTTAATTAACTGGAGAGCCATCCATGTAACCTGAATGTGCTGCATGAATTCCAAACCATTAACCACTGGATTGCTTATGCACTGGCAGATGAGGAATTATACATATTAATAACCAGATATGATAGTCTGTGGTAACTAAATTTTGTTTGAGATAATATTTTTGACTACTAAATAAAGCCCAAAATAAAACAAAATAAAAAAACCCCTCAAGGAATAAAGCATTCTACTAATGGAAACAAAAGTAATAAAAGTTTTGGACCCCAAGCAGTGTTATTGGAGTCTCTTTATTTCAATATTTAATGCTACCACTAATGATGTCCAAACTCTAATCAAATAGCATAAGTGTAAATTACTGCCCAATTATATATTTGCCATTCAGTTAAATATTAAAACTCTGTAAGTGGTTATACTTTGTATTGAAAAGCAAAAAAAAAAAATGAACAGCATAAGAAGAACCTATAAATATTTTTTCCCCTGAAAAATGACCAGGCCTGGGTGACAGTCATAACCAGAAAGTCTAGTTAGCAAATTTCCTTGAGTTCTAGACACAGTGCTACTTTTCTCTCTTATTATTCCCGTGTCTCTAGTGTTTCTCTTATAACCATGATTGAAGCCAGTTTGAATTTCAGATATGTTAGAAATTCTCTCGCTTTTTCCAGGTCCAAAGAAAGCCTCAGTAAATGCTTCACTGGAGGTTTGAGGCCCTACAGAACCTAGAAATCTTATCAAAAGGGGTATTTCTAGAAGGCACAGTTTCCTCTGAAAATTAGCCATGTCCTATCAATAGGAGAAAGACCAGAAAAGGGAGGAGATTTTGGTTGACTGGGAGAATGAGAACATGAAACAGCTGCCACCATTTGGCTACCTTTTCTACATGGACGCATAAATTTGCTCTCATGCTCTTTTCTCTAATGTCTTTCAACATATTCTTCAAAACTGTATAATGAATTCATCACCTCTTATGAATTGCTGTTAAGACATGACTTTTAGAGAGTGGAGCCTGATCTTGACTCTCCCTTTCCTTGGCACTCCACAATAGGACTTAGTTGGCATTACTTTTCTGTAAAGGGTCAGGTAGTAATTATTATCAGTTTTGTGGGTCATCCTGTCTCTGTTGCAACTAATCAAGTCTGCCTTGGTAGCACAGAAGCTACAGCAATAGATACATAGAAGAGCAGTTGTGTTCCTATAAAACTTTGTTTATGGACACTGAAATTTGAATCATACAATTTTTTAGGTGTCACAAAATATTCCTTTTCAACCATTAAAAAAACTTTAATAACCACCCTTAGCTCATGGTCTGTACAAAGCAGGTAGTAGGTAGAATTTGGTTTATGGGTTATGTAGTGTGTTAACCTATGTTTTTGGACATTGTAAGGAACACTCTAGGATAAGAGTAAGAAAGAAAGTGAATATGCTAAATGAAAAAAACAAAATAAAAAAATTACTGTAAGCAAATAGGAAAATTTAAATATTGGGATGAAATCAAACACAGATCTAGTTCTAATCCTATCTAATTTGATATTCATTTCGTTCTGCAAAATATGACAGATTATATAAATAAAAAACTTATAGTATCTCTGTGTTATGGACTGCAGATCAAAATACTGGAATCACAGCAACAATAAAATTTATTGGGAGAAATTAGAGTTGTAATTAGAGTACAGAATCAAGTACAGGTCAAATGATTTTGGAAAAGTTACTAAACCTCTTTGTGCCTCATTTTTCTTACAAAATGAGGTAAGTACTTTCTAGGCACATTGTAAGGATTAAATGAATTGTTACATAGAAAATGCTTAGAAAGTAAGTGCTTTAGTTGTCAAAACATGTTACCTATTACTCTGGAAATTAAGTTTAGCATCTGTACCTAATCCAGCATGGGTAGAAAGGACCCATGCAGGTGCTTTCAAGAAACTCTTTGGATGTGAGGTTTTAGATAGAAATATTGATACACACTTTTTAAAAATTTGAGATACTTGTTGATTTATATACAGTTGTAAGAAGTAATACAGAGATATCTGTATACCCTTCATTCAATTTCCCCAGGAACACCATGTATAAAAATAGCACAATATCACAACCAAGAAATTGATATTTGCAATTCAGACTTTATTCAGATTTTACCAGTTTGCATGCACTTGTGTGTGCGTGTGCACGCACATGCATGTGTTTAATTCTTTGCCAAGCTTGTTCTTCAGAAGGAGCATCCAGAGGAAATTAGGCCATCAATACAGTCATTTAAATGATACTTGAAGAAGACTGTTGCATATGTTCATGTAGCCCACATACTTGAATATACTACCAAACTATTCAAAGTAAGAATGGAAACTCATCATGGCTGGATTTGACTTTGCTGCTGGGTCTTTTGTATTTCCTTCCCTACCTCTCACACTCAAGAATTCTCTGAACTAAAGAACTAAGATACATGAGGAAAGAGACTAAAAAATAAATAAAACGTCTTCATAGTTCACAGCAACTATTGAGAGAGAGGTAGAAGCCTTAATTATTTTAATTTAGATTTTGAAAATGTGTTTTGTCATGACACCAAGGAACCTTTGAGCCTGGACTCCTTTTCACTTCAAGTTAGACAAGGTGATTTGATCCACGAGTGCAGAGAAGGCCTTGCAAATCCTCTCCGCTCCACTATACAGGTCCACATTCGCTGAAGACCGCAGGCCTGAAATCAACAAACAGGAGAGGCTTTCAGAGAAACACACTTGTAAGTTCTCAAGCCAATCTGACCAAGGCTCTCACACAGAGAACGGAATCCATCATTCTTCAATTCCTGAGGACAATGCCCTTTGCCTAAGTGGGCTGGCAAATAAGGTGGTTAACAATTATCATGATCAATGTGTATTTGTACTAAGACCCCAGGTGAGAGCAATGCTGCTGGCTTGGGAACCAGGCTTTGAGAACTACTGTTCTATGGCTACTTAATAATGGTCACAGTGGTCTCCTGTGATCTGTGGTAACAGGGAGTGTGTTGTAGAAAGAATGGAATTTTGCAGTTACCAACCAAAAGTTTGGTGTCCATAATCTTTAACCTAAGAGTTCTTTTTAAAGGAATTGGTCCAATTTATATAAAAGTATAAATACATATAAGTATATATGATATTTACCAAAGCCTTTTGTGATAATAAAAAATTGGAAGCAACTTAATTATACATCACTAAATAAATTATAATACATTCATACCCTGAGATATTATGCAGATTTGAAAACATGACATCACTCAATGTTTAAGATATCAAACAAGTGAAAAAAGCAAAAGTATAGTGTGATCTAATTTATCTTGAAAAAGTAAAAACACACATATGTGCAGAGTAAAACGTTTGAAGAAAAATTCCCTAAACTGTAAACAGGGCTTACCTCTGACAGGTAGGAGGGTGAGGAAGATGTGATGATGAATTCATTTTTAGGAAAAGCTATGCACTTCAACACTTATTTATTTATTTAAATTTGAAATATTTTTCTTGTTAATATTGTTGAACATGTCTCTTTTTCTGAAAAGATTGAAATGGAATATTCCAGACTTTTAAATTGCCAAATGAAATGTTGCAGTGCATATTGTACCTGTTCATTTTTTTCCATTTATTCATATGTACATACATTGTTTGGGTCATTTCCCTCCCCTCTTCCTCCACCATCTCTCCCCCATCTTTCCTTGCTTCCAGGCAGAAACTGTTCTGCCCTTATCTCTAATTTTGTTGAAGAGAGAGTTAAACAATAATAAGGACAAAG